ACTTTGTTGATTACAGGGTCCCTAATGAGATATAATATAAAAATATAAAAGAAACATATAATCAATCGCGTAATTAATCCCACTAATTACTGCAGGGATTATACACGGAATTTTGTTTGGTCACTTCTCTTTACTGAAAGTTGTGAGGGGGTGGGGTTAGAAGGTAACAATTCAAACATTTTTGTTTTCATTATTTGTTGCAGTTGACAATATCAGTAACAAATATATTGTTACGTCTCCGTTCGTTAGGTAATTTTCCGTAACTTCGTTCCAACGAAACTTTAGCGACACAAGTCCTTTCTTAAATAAAACTGGTTTATTCTTTCTGAATATAACTTTGCGATACACTTAATTTCAACAGTCGCGCTATAACAAACGCTATAACAACGAACGTCTCACGTGCTCAACTTCAACAATACTCTCTGACTGCAGTTCAATTACTCACTGTCTCGCCGTCGCTTCGTGGCCAGTCTTACATATACAAGACTACACTATATCTAGTAATCTCCCGACAATTCACGAAGGTTCAAGAATGACGTGGCGTGATACTAGTCACGTGACCTCGATGTCGTAACAATATCAATTCGGAAATGCACAACCGTGGCAGTTTCTTTAATTGTATATTGTTTCCGTCTGTATATTAAATCCCGCAGTTAAAAAAAAAGAAATTACTGATGAACGGTATAAAAAAAACAAGTCCCTAATTTGAAGATTTAATTGGCAGAGTGACATAGAGAGACTGGGAAAGTAGTTCATACAAATACGCTGTGGTTTCCAATAAGAAATAATTCGAGCTTTATTTGAAATAAACTAACACGTGTTCATAGGTATGTGTTTCAGTTTCGTTGTAGAAGAAAAAAAATTGAGTTATATGACAATTAAATTGCTTCTGTAATCAGTTCCGGTCAATTACATGCATACAATTTATGATACAATAATACCTTTTTTACAAACTTAATTGTAATTACCAATGCTAGTTCGGTTTTTCTATAATAACCACTTCAAACAAATATACATAAAAAATCATTTATTTTATCGTAGATTTGAGAAACACACAACGAATCTGAAATACCAAATTTGCAGACTGCCAGAGTAGTGATTATAAAGCCAGAAATGACATTCACTTGTATCTTCAATATGAACGTCATCTTATGCACACGGGGACTAAACGGCCGGGTCATAGATCCTTGGGGTTTAGGTATTGTAGCCCCCCAATTCTGAACTACTGGCAAGATAAAAGGCAGTCACTTAGCAACACCTACTAAGGGCAACTTTGAACCCAATAACAGGATTGACTGGCACCCACTTCTTCGGTGATATCTCAGCCTGAACCTTTGGACACGCTAACCACTGGGTCAAGTCCAGCCTTGAATTCAAAAATAGTTATAAATTATTTCAAAATAATTAAAAATTTTAGTAGGCAACTCGCATGTAATCAGTTTACCATTACTTTGAATAATAGTGATAAAAAATAGTCAAGGGAATTGGAAATAAATCGTTTTAAAATATTTGAAGTTTGCAGGAAGTAAATAACTGACAAAAGCGTTTCTTGATCTGTTTTAAATCGCAGCATTAAACAACTGCGGGACCTTCATGATTGAAAAACAGTTTTCAAAGAATTAAAACAGACTGTAGACTCTACTCACACAGTGAGGGCTTAGTGACAGATGCAATTTATAGCTTTAACTTTAAAAAAGAACAACTGTCGACAAAAATAAGTCCTCAATATACATTTTAAATCCTACTAACTCAAGCTGGGAAACAGCTCGTTCTCGTCATCAAACTCTCGATGCCAAGATTGATCGATCATCACCACTCCCGAGAGTTGGCGAGAGTGGTGTTTATTCCTTGTCTGCCTGTGCGAGATAAAAAAAACACAAAACAACTTATATTGGAGTTGTACAATATTTGGTGAAAAGGTCAGGGACGTCAAGTTCATTAGGTTTTGGCGATTTAAGGTCAGTGGTCAGGAAAACTCACGATCTTTAATCTCAATTACATTAGGTACACCTTTCAACTAAAAGCTAAATTGTTTGCAGAGTTCTATAGCTATCTACCCTAATGGTTAAATATTGTTATTCAACACTAGAGTAGCGAAAGAAGTGTTTATATTGTTACGACAGGGGGGTCACGTGACTCTAGTAACACGTCATATTCTCGAAGGTTCGTGAATCCTCGAGTGTTTACTAGATTTGCGGTATTCTTGTATATATAAGACCGCCAAGAAGTGACGGCAACAGTGTAATTGAATTGCAGACAGAGAGAGACTGACGATTGAGTCGAGCACGTGAGTCGTTCGTTGTGAATTATAGCGTTTGTTATAGCGTGACTGTAGAAATTAAGTGTATTGCAAAGTTGTATTCAGAAAGAATAAACCAGTTTTATTTAAGAAAGGACTTGTGTCGCTAAAGTTTCATCGGAAAGAAATTATACGGGAAATTAACCAACGACCGAAGACGTAACAATATTATATTTATGACATTAAGTATTTCTTCGTGGTTTGTAATATATACTTGACTGTTAGCTTTATAATCCCTTCAGATTTACCGCTGAACCACTGGGGGAAGGGGGGGGGCGGCGTTTTAGCACTGGTCTCTATGGTTAAAACTTATTTTTCAAGTTTTTAATAATTGATGCCAGGAAGGCACCTCTTTTCTCTTCTTCTGTACTTAACCGTGTACTAGTAAAACAATTTATTTTTATTTCAATGATAATAAAACCATTACCTTGAGCATTATTACTGACAACTGTGTTTCAAAAATACCATGACTTTTTGTTTGTAGTTAAAGCACAAAGCTACATAAAGGGCAATCTGTGCTCAGCCCATTACGGGTATCGTTGTAAGTCCACAGACATACCGCTGTGGAACAAACGAAGAAAATGTCGAGAGAAAATTAACAGTAATTCTATTATAATAAATAAACCTGTGTCTAATAAATAAAACTGTGTGTAATAAATAAAACCATGTCTAATAAATAAAACTGTGTCTAATAAATAAAACTGTGTCTAATAAATAAAACTGTGTCTAATAAATAAAACTGTGTCCAATAAATAAAAGTATGTTTATTAAATAAAACTGTGTCTAATAAATAAAAGCATGTCTAATAAATAAAACCGTGTCTAATAAATAAAACCATGTCTAATAAATAAAACCATGTCTAATAAATAAAACTGTGTCTAATAAATAAAACTGTGTTCAATAAATAAAACCATGTCTAATAAATAAAACTGTGTCTAATAAATAAAACCATGTCTAATAAATAAAACTGTGTGTAATAAATAAACCTGTGTCCAATAAATAAAACTATGTCTAATAAATAAAACTATGTCTAATAATTATTCACTTACTACTTTTCTTGATTATGTTGATTTTTTTCTTACGTTTTACAATCAGCATACGCCAGTTATTGTGGTTTTCATTTTACAAAATTATATATATTTATTGTTTGTACAAAGCTACACAAAGGGCTATCTGTTCTCTGCCCATCACGGGTATCGAAACCCGATTTCTAGCGGTATAACTCCGCAGACATACCGCTGCGCCACTGGGAAGCTTTTTAATTTTTTTCGAAACTTTATACATAATCTCAATATATTTTGTACTTACTTCACACGTACACCCCCTCCCATGCTTTCTTGTAATATTTCGAGTAGGTTTTATAAAACTACATATAATATGAGAGCTGATATGGCTTGGTGCTGGAACAGTGGGATTTGACCGTCACTCTTATAACGCACCACGGCCCCAAAGTGCGGAGCGTTATTTTTTTATTGTGGTAGTAACGGGACACTTTAGAGGATGCGATACGTAATGTTATACATGTGTTATCGATGGTAATATCGCAAGGTTTTTGATATTTCCTCGGAACCAACTCAGTGTTATTCTTATTAATTTTTGCTGCGACACAGTGTCGACCCTAACAGTACAATCGAAACCACGAATTAGAATGGTTAAAAAATAAAATAAATTTAGTTGAGTAATTTGTTACCCACGGTAACTTAATGTACCCTTCTGACATAAATATTCTTATTAACCAGTTAGACGTTATTCATCAATACTTTGGAGCTGATTTTCAGGATCTATTCCAAGATCAGAAACTGATGCTGGAATTGATTCCTAAACATCTGGAGTCACACACACACACTACTAACACCACGTAAAGCAGAGACCTGGGTCTCGTTTTTATTGTCACCATGTTGCTTTTTGTCGATTCTCTATTGGACTGGCATATTGTACCAATATTTAATAAAATACCCAAATATTTTAAAACAAAATGCATGTTTCAAATCTTTATACTTAAACGAAGAGCTCTAACGTGTTTTTGCGACAAAAAAGTATGTTTAAAAATAATTTTTATTTGCAAATTAAACAGTTCAGGACTAGACCAAGCCGTGGTTATGAAAGTTCTATTGGCCTCTTTATTCTCAATATATCGTTTCACTACATTTGATGTATGCATGGTATCAATGTCTTGCTGTAAGGTGATTTCCTATCCGATGTGTCGTGTTCCTGAGGGAATGGCATGATGGATCTGCTGCTGAATCTGCATTTACTTGTCAGCAGTCAGGGTACCATCACTTATGTGTAGATCATCGACACTTCCCACAAGTTAGTACGACCAAATATGGCACACGTGGTTAGGTACCACAGGCAGTTGTTTCAACGGTTTTTGTTTTCGGGTACAGACCACCCCCCTTCTTTAAAGTAGTTACATAATTAATTGGAAATGATAAAGGAACTTGACCGGTACATCTGTGAATCAAGAGGAAATGTTTGAACCCCGCAGCAGACTGCGGCCATTTTATGCTAGTGATTGAATGCATTTATTCCGCAGTTGGATACCCTCGCTGTTAGCGTTATTTTCGGTCATAATCCTAACAATATTCCATACGGTTTGACCAGCTTAAGATATTTAGGTTAGTCCTAAATCCATATACTAAGCTAATAGTGCAAATAAACTTCTATTCATAAATAAATAAATAAAATTAATTCAACTTACTGCTCTTGAGGTGACATTCACATTTTTATTAGAAGGTAGTTAGTTGGCAAGAATTTACTCGATCAGTGTATCTAGTAAAGAACTTTAGAGTCACAAATATCTAGCATCGC